GATTTTATTCTTCTCCCTGCTCCTTTTCGCTCAATGGTAGAGTCATGTTTTGTTGCAATTATTGTACATTTGGTTTTGCGTACCATGAGCGGGACAAATAAAAATGAAATGAAATGAAAGTACCAGAGCGTAGGAGTTACAGTAAAAGTCCTGCATTCAAAATGTTACTCAAGTAAAAGTATTAGCATCAAATTATACTTAAAGCACCAAAAGTTTATTCCATTTCAGAATAATAGATATGATATGTTTTATAATGATTGATCATGAAAGTGTTCTCAAAGCTGGTAAAGGTGCAGCTAGTCTGAATGACTTTGTATACTGCAGGGTAGCTGGTGAATTCACTCCAGGTGGAACTCAAGTCTGATTTAACACTTGATTATATTTCACATCATTCATCCACATCTGTAAAGTAACTAAGTATAAAAAGGAAGTAGATTAAGTATCTCAGAGTTGTACTTTAGTACAGGAGTAAAAGTACTGAGTTACATCCCACCTCTGTCTATAGAGAGATAAAACGTAATGTTTGAACTAACGTAGTCCAGCCAGTGTGTGGTGACGATGGGGACTCCTTTGGCCACGGCACACAGGAACTTCACGGTCCTGCGCACCTTGTCGGTCACCAGACAGTTCATGTCGGCCACGCCTTTGGCCATGCGGCCTCCCAGACGAGCCAACACCCTCTCCCCTTCTTCATCCACCACGCCGGTGAACAGCACCTGAGAGAGAGAGAGAGAGAGAGAGAGAGAGAGAGAGAGAGAGAGAGAGAGAGAGAGAGAGAGAGAGAGAGAGAATTTGTGAATAAATAAAATGTTGTTTTTTTTAGCCCTTCTCTGCATTATTTGGCTTATTGTTTGTATTTATTTTCCTAACATGTATATAGTTATCTTCATTGGTCTGCAACATAATACACATTATTCTACTCTGTTTTTTCTTACACTATCTTTATTTATTTGTATTGTTTTATGTCTTCTATAACTATGTAGCATTGTTGGAGGAGCTCGATTTCTACACTGTAGCTTGTGACATTAAGCCTTTGAATCTTGAAACTAAATTAACCTTTATTTAAAACCCATCCACAAAAACAGTATACCAATATCTTGAGACAGTTTTTGGGAAGAAGTGAAGTGATGACTGATGTGTGTGAGAGTTTCTATACAGGTGTTTTGGTATCTTTCACTTCAATTCATCAATCCAAATGATTTTCTCTTTTTCTGGTAATATGCCATGTCATGAGGTAAGAAACCATATAAACCTTATAGGCATGGCTGACAGATCGTAATCGGCCACCGGGGGAAGCAGAGGCGGAGCGAGGGGTCTTTGCCACAGGTGACGAGTCGGCAAGAGCCTGTCGCTTCCGGGACGCAGCGCTGGTGGGAGTCTGGGGCTGTAAAATGGAGGAGGGGAGGGAGGGAGGGAGGGGAGGGGAGACAAGGACAAAAGGGCAGACAAGGACGAAGCATGAAACACAGAAGGAGAGTGATGAGTGTAGGAGCAGAGTAGTGTGACTACTTAATTCATTAGTGTATTAATGGTGATGACTACTCCTGTTGCTCAGAGAGTAGTCAGTCCCTGATGTTGATGCAGTACATTATGAAAGGCTGACTCTCAGAGAAAAAAGCCACAGGGCCTTAAGCCGAGGTAAAAGCCTTCCTCAAGGACACGAGTTCCTGGTATATACCTCTAAGCTTTCCCTTTGGTCTGATGTATGTCTCAGCACTAATGTAGGGCTGCTCAATTAAATCGTATTTTAATCGCGATTATGGCTTGCAACGATTACGAAAACAACGTAATTGAAATAAAATGATCCATCCATCCATCCATCTTCTCCCGCTTATCCGTGGTCGGGTCGCGGAGGTAGCAGTTCCAGCAGAGAGCCCCAAACTTTCTTTTCCCTGGCCACATCAACCCTAAGGTCTCATGAACTTCCCCACTCAATCTATCAAGACCCGAGCAGTTCTACCAGAAGTCCAGGGTAAAGGCACAGGCCGGCGCATACCGCCAATGGAATTCCCCCACCATATGAACTCTGACCCCTGGAGTGTAAAAGTGAAGAGGCACAACGTGACTACGTAAATGCACTCTCCTGAAACAGTTGGAAACAAGGTGAAAAGTAAAACGTGAGAGATAGGAATATGCACTCCAAAGTGCTTTCCCTGTCGACTCGGGTGACCATTAAGACCAAGCGTAAAGAACAGCGGTCAGCAGGCCCCACGTTTAAGGAATTTATTNNTGAACTCTGACCCCTGGAGTGTAAAATCGAAGAGGCACAACGTGACTACGTAAATGCACTCTCCTGAAACAGTTGGAAACAAGGTGAAAAGTAAAAAGTGAGAGACAGGAATATAAAGCCTTAATGCAATCGAATGTAAAACAAAAAAGTTATGGTTGATGAAAGTAGTGAATAGTAGTCAAAACAAATGACCATATCTTCCCTTCTAAAAGGGTTAAATTAATAATCTTTTTTCTCAAAGTAATGCTGAGACTGCCAAGGCACACNAACCATGTTTGTCAAAATTAGGAATTCATTCTTCTATTTAAAGAAACCTAAGTTTCAAGATAAATGCCTGTGTCCCATACAACGCACGACTCCAGGACTGCTGTTATTCCTTGCTTTTTTAAGGTTAGATCCATACTCAAGGACTTAAGTTTAGGCACAGGGTTAAATCAATCAAATTAAATCAATCAAACATTATCATTTTATCAAATAAAATGATAATGTTTTTTATTATTATTACTTTTGAAAACATTTTTTGGTTTTTCAGTTGAGTTATACTTAAAGTTCAGGGTAATCAACTGTTAAAAACATACTGGTCAAATTGTTTTTCTCCAATAAATGGATGTTTTCAAAGTCAATGAATAATCGCAATTACAATTATTGACCCA